ACAAAACAACAATTGCAAATTTTACTACTGTAAATAAAGATAATAGATAGATTTATTTACGTTTAAACCGGTAATGGCGGCGGCCGGGTGGCGGGGAGCGGTATAAAAGCACGTGAGTCTTTTAACCAATCAACGTGCACCTTGCCTTTGTCGGATGATTTAACGGCAAGACGCCGTAAATTAATCAACTTACTAAAATACATACGTTAAATAGTACATTTCAAATGCCGTTTATTATTTTCCGAGAGTTGATCAACTACCTAGAAAATTGATCAACTTACGAGTCTTGTTATTTTCCGGTGACATATATAATATAAAATGTGGAGGTTATATGAACCTATTTAGGTTATTCTTCATCCAGAGAGCGGAGTTACTTTGATGGTATTTCAGAAGTTAGGCGTAGTACCAGAACCATATAAATGAAAAAATCAGGAACGCATTTTTTAAACTGAAGCTGCTTTACAAATTGAGGCCATATTATAGGAGAACACCTCCGAGTACGGTTAGTTAATGCACTGGTATTATCGCCATTCGATTATTGTGACTCAGTATACGGGCCAAGACTAAATACTAATACGGCAAGAGCTATCCAGCGAGTCCAGAACTCTTGCATGAGGTTCTGTTTTAGAATACCAAGGCGAGACTTTGAACGCCTTATATGAACAAGGGAAGAATTTTAACATGAGTGCTAGAAGGGAACTTCATTATGCCTGTCTTACAAAAAGAGTAATTTGGTCAAAGAATCCAGACTACCTGTTTGAGAAGCTCTCATGGAAAAAAGATCGAAGCCGACAGAATTTGCGCTCAGTGGCACAGAACCTAATGAACTTACCTAAGTTTAAATCTCATCGGTTCAGGAGTTGTTTCAAGTTCAATGCAGCCAAAATATGGAATGATTTACCTCCACCTCTTAGGATTAAAATGTCTGACCAAGCATTCAAGATGAAATATAAGATAGCATTATTAAAGCGGCAGCTGGCTGCGGAGAATTTGAAGCAATCATACCTCAAAGACATAGCCCTGAGTCAATTCTTCACAATGTAGGTTCTTATCATATATTGCACACACACACACACACACACACACACACACACACACACACACACACGCACACGCACAGGCAAACACGGTAACAGTGATGCATAGTTTTTTATGTCAGCTAGCACCATTTCGAATTGCTCCAACTGTCACCTTCAGAGAGCTGGGCAAGGTTGAAAAACAGCGCAGCCCGGGACTTGCTCTCGAGGCAGCTTGAGCTGAACCTCATGGCCTTTTGTTTCCTGTATTTAATTTAAGTACTCTAGTTTTAATTTTAATTGTAACTTTTAAATTTTGGTTGTGGGAAACAATAAATGATTTTTATTTATTTATTTATTTATTTAGTATATCTAAATATTCAAAGGTGACTGAATGACATAGTGATCTACGCACAGCCCAAACGGGCTGAAATTTGGCATGCGGGTAGATGTTATGACGTAGGCATCCGCTAAGAAAGGATTTTACGAAACTCCACCCCTAAGAGGGTAATACGCGATCCACGCTTAAGAAGTCGCGGGCGGCCGCTAGCTAGTAATGAAGATGACACATGCTAGGCGCTAATACTGTGACAGCTTTTACTGCCATAGTAAATAGGTGCTATTTTTGCAACAAAAATGTAGCCATCAAAGTACATTTCTGTGATGACGACTGCAATAAATAATAACAAAAGATTGTACCTTGCAGCAGCAACAGTGCTAATCAATGCCACAATAAACTCCTTTCTCGAGCGCGGATTATATTTAACTATAGTACCTTACAACTTACAAAGCAGCGTTATAGCTAAAAAGCTAATAAGAGCTTGCATGTACTGCAGCTTATAGGAAAATGATTACTCTGAACATCAATGACTCCGAGTGTACAGCCAGAACAAGGGTGTGCTCGCCACACTATTTTTTTTTTTATCCACAACGAGGAAGCTCTTGGCCTGTATCTCATCTGATGGTAAGTGACGTTCAGGCCGAAGGTGGAAGCGAGCTTCACCCGGAATCTTCAACCACGGATAAACTGGCTATCTTACCTCTAACTGCCGGAACACAACAATGCTGTTAACATTGTTGTTATGGCGACAGACTTAGGTAAGATGGTGGTAGCTAGCCAGGCGGACTTAGAACAAGCCCTACCACCAACCAAACTGAACAGAAAAATCTGCCCTCACTGGGAATCGAACCCGGGACCTCTGCGTCTGAAGCAGGTGGTCTTACCACTAGACCACATAGTCTCACACACACTAGACTACATATCAGAACAGTATCAAACCCGCAACTGTTCTATTATGGTACCACCAGACACCAGAATAGCAACTGTCAATAAATTTAATAAAATGGTAAAGTGGCACGAATGACCAATTACGAGAATAACTTAGCATACTCGATATAATTAGAATCAAATCGCCACTTTGTAGTATAACTTGATGATGGGATTAATTAATTCAATACACCCATACTATGAAGTCTCGGTTATATTGAGCCCGTTACTTGGGTAATTCGAAATATTATGTTATCCCAACTAATATTATAAATGCGAAAGTAACTCTGTCTGTCTGTCTGTCTGTCTGTTACGCTTTCCCGCTTAAACCTCGCAACCGATTTTGATGAAATTTGGCATAGAGATAGTTTGAGTCCCGGGAAAGAACATAGGATAGTTTTTATCCCGGTTTTTGAAACAGGGACGCGCGCGATAAAGTTTTTCTGTGACAGACAAAATTCCACGCGGGCGAAGCCGCGGGCGGAAAGCTAGTATTTCATAATGTTGTTATAAAAATGTAATGTTGTAATTGAAATAAGTTTTGTAATTATACAGATTTCTAATATTATTATTTAAATTATAATGCTTGTTAGATTTAATCTCATGTTGCAATACCCTAGCAGGGTCCATGTTTTGGGTCTTATGTCTATACTAGCTTTCCGCCCGCGGCTTCGCCCGCGTGGAATTTTGTCTGTCACAGAAAAACTTTATCGCGCGCGTCCCTGTTTCAAAAACCGGGATAAAAACTATCCTATGTTCTTTCCCGGGACTCAAACTATCTCTATGCCAAATTTCATCAAAATCGGTTGCGAGGTTTAAGCGGGAAAGCGTAACAGACAGACAGACAGACAGACAGATAAGGACCGATTTTCAGCGTAAGAGAAGCAATCAAGCTCTTCCGAGTCTGTACGCTCCGTGGACTGCAAGAAAGGCGGCATCATTGTGCCCATCAAACGAGTAGAAATCCACCCCTCCTACGAATTCGGGAAGCCGTCATTTGACCTGGCCCTCATCAAGCTGGCTCGACCTGTCAACAATGCAGAATAAATCAAGCCCATCCAGCTGTCAAAGATTAAACAAGGCGTCGTCAGCGCAAAGTTCATGACTACTTACTGGCCGAGGTTGATTGTGAGTAAGATTTGTTATTTGATGTTTCTGATTCTCTTTTCCTATCTTATTAAGGAATCTCCAGATTCCTCCATGATGAAAAATCAGGCCAAAGTTTACGTTTTCGTCGTGTGTTTTTCCAAATCATCACGTCACTTTTTTATCATGCCGCGTGTATCGAAAACCATTCCGATCTGAAAAGAGGTAATGCTGACGCTGAAGCAATTTGTTTGGACATCTTCAGCTAGGCTATGTTTATGTTAACTAAATTAACTGCAGCACCATATGCTAGGCTCTGACAGAATCTTCTTTTATGTGGTAGTAACTAAGATCACAACTTTGGTGCCCAACTTAAACTGCCATAGGTAACTTGCATGGCTCAATCTTGCATAAACCACCAATATTATTAAACGCAGGTGAACGGCAACGTCCTTCCACACACAGCTAAGGAGCGTGTGAAGTATCAGAGCATGAGGGTGTCAAAACAGAAGCTGATTCCGTGGAAGACCTGTGCGGCCATGATGCGGGCCAGAAGTGCTGTCCTGGATGAGACCAGCTTGTGCCTGAAGCCAATAGCTACACACCATAGTGTTTGTATGGTGAGGATCTTCTTCTTTATCAGCCACAAGCTTCATGTCGAGAGCGTTAGAGACTGGAGTGAAGATGACCACTTGGGATGAAGGTAGAAGCTCACTTCCACCCTCGGCCTGATCATCAACTTTTATCAGGTGATATGCAGGCCCTGAGCTTCCTCGTTGTGGATAAATAAAGCCACACGTAGATGATACAGCCTATCAGTCTTGCTCATCATCATCATCATTATTTTCGGCCACAGGACGTCCACTGCTGAACATAGGCCCCAATGATTTCCATAGCGGCCTGCATCCAGCGCCTTCCTGCTACCTTTTTGAGGTCGTCGGTCCACCTTGTGGGTGGACGTCCTATGCTGCACTTTCCGGTACGTGGCCTCCACTCCAGAAGCTTACTGCCCCATCAGCTAATAGCTTACAATATTACTGCAGTTTATTATTATTTAGCGGCCTTATCTTGGTTAAATCTTAGTTAAAGCTTAACTGCCTCAATTTCACCTGAATGCAAAGAACTCAGTAAATGCATAATATTTACTTGCACTTGATTTTGGAGTGCATTTGAATGAGTATACTCTCCATGCTAGAAATAAATTCAAGTTAGGTGAAAAAGATCGACTTATTCCTGTCATGAAGATGTAGAAAAGACCATACATCTTGGTATTTCTGTGCTCATCAAAGTCGAAATCAAAAACTTTATTGTATCTTCTTCTTTTTCGTCGCTACACTCATGGCAGAGCGGTCGTGGTTGTCACACCTGCTTTGGTAGCAGGCTTCACAATCCGTCGCCATTCCTTCGCATTGCAGCCTTTCTTGTACACTCGTGGAGGAGTGGACCATTGAGTGCTTGTGACCTGATCGGTCCATCGCATGAGTGACCTGCCGCGCATTCTTGTGCCTTCAACCTTCAAGTCTAGTCGTTCAACAGATGTGTCGTCGATGTCGTCTATAGAACAGAGCTGCTCAACCTTTTGAAGAGTCGGGCCAAACGGTGGATTCAGTCGTTAACGACGGGCCACTTACATTTCCTATTTCAGTTACTCTCAAGACAAGCGCAATAAAATCTCTATTATTAAGATCAAACCATCTTGCGCGGACCACTTAAAATGGGCCTGGGGTTGAGCTGCCTTGCTATAGACTATTAAATCGTACTAACAAATCGTCAAATTGAAATTTAGCTTTGTCCTTTTCCTAAAGTTTCCTTTGCGTTTACATGTCTCATAATATTTTTGCCTTACCAACACCTTAACACTTTCCTGGAAAGTGAACTGCTATATCAATTAGGCTGGGTTGCACCATCCTACTTTGACTATAACAAACGTCAAAAATCTGTCAAACTCCATACAAAATACACCGGTTATCGTTATAACGATAGTCACGGTTAAAGTTTTGGTGCAACTCAGCCTTAAACTTCTTTTGTGTCTGGGTTACTGTCCGGGATAGTGTTAAATGGACAACAATTCTTCCACAGGCCGATGTCGGCGCCCCAGTGGTAGCAGAAGACGGTCTCTGGGGCATCACGTCAGGGTGGACCTCTCAGCAGTGCTCCATCTACCCCAGCCCTACCATCCTCACCAGAACTGCCATGCCACCGGTGAGGACCTGGCTGGAGTCTGTGCTGTAAAATTAGGAGTTGAGAGAACAAAACTACTTGTGTTGTTAATAATTTAAAAGAATGTTTCACCTTTAACTGACGAGAAACTAAAGTAGGGCCAACGAGAAGCGATACCAAATGTAAACAAACCCAATGTCATGGGTGAACTCGTCTGACTTTGACATATTTTGGCGGGAGAACGAGACATTGCGACAAATACACAAGATGGGAAGAGACAGAATATATTGTCAACTCGACAGTCGTATCGACTTTTTGTATCGCTGCTAGTTGGCCGTACTTTAGAGAAAATAGGAAATCTATTTGTTTGGGGATCACCACGGCATTTAATCTTAACAAATGCCTAACATTATTGTGAAATGAAGAGGTTAGAATGTATTAAAATTACTTTGTATTTTTGTAAAAAAAAAACTTTAAACAAACGTTACAGAGTTTTGCTTAAACTAACACCATAAAGTAGTTCACTATCACTAATCCAATTTTTTACTTCTGACTTACTTTCAGGTAAAACTAACTTACTGTGGATAATGTTTAGTTTTAGAAATGAAGATAAAGAAACAATAATTTTATTAAGTACAAAACATAGTCTAAATGGAATTAGGAATTAATAAAATTAGTTTGTACTATTTCAAACAAAAGCTGTTAATATCAATCAAACTTATAAATAAAATATGAAAATTTAGGATAACCCCATTGTTGTACCATATACTTATTTACTTATACGTATCCAATGTCAATGACATAATTAATTATTTACTAAAGATTACTATTACATATTTAGGTTTACGGCAGCTATGTCAACTTATTTGAACAACCATGATTGTTTAATAAAGGATTTAGATACTGTTGACTGATATAAATCAGCGATAACGTAACGATCACACGATCACACATGGAGAAGCTATATGCCCCGTTTCCACGAAGACGGAGCGGAGCGGAGATGAGCGGAGAAGGTGACGGGCGGACGATTTTTTCTGTACAATTTGACAGCAGCAGCGGCGCGGTAGTGAACGTAGCTGTGCGAAGCGGAGAAGAGATGTGAATGTACGGGACTGTTCTTACCTCTCGTTCCCACCGCTGCAACTCCTGTGTAGCCAGGATCTACAGCTTGACCGCCAATAAAAACCCAAGTGAAGGTCACGTTTCGTCCCTCGCATGACTAACTATCCTTTCTCAGTCTTCTGGCGATTTGATAATCGAACTTAACTGAAAACCCGTGGTTTTGAGAATGTGGCAAAACTAAGATAGGATAGTTAGTCATGCGAGGGACGGTTTGTCCCAATGTCAAGATGTGGAAAAAATGAAATCTGATTGGTTATTTAAAACACTTCTCCTCTCAGCCTTGGTGGAAACCTGGGCTAACAGCTATAAAAACAATGGAATATGCCATACAATACGGTATTGCAATAAAGACGTCATCGCGGTAAGTAAATACTTACGTAGAGCTTTTTGACATTCCACAATTACAAACACAATGTGTAGGTATATGACCTTACTACGAGTAATACTAAATCAAATAAGGAAGGTTATTTTTATACATGGAAACTAACCTGTGAAATGATGTAATATTATTAAAAATACGTAAGTAACACGACCTGTCTGTTTGACTACCATGTCATACATGCATGCATGGACAAACTTGGCCTACACTGGTTGGGTTTTATTGGCGGTCAAGCTGTAGATCCTGGCTACACAGGAGTTGCAGCGGTGGGAACGAGAGGTGGGAATAGTCCCATCTCATAACATGTCATAAATCTTCCATTTCTTTGAATTGGTTGAGATAGACTCAACTTTCAATTTCTATAATCATCATCATATTTTCAGCCATGGGGACCTCCCATGGATAGAGACCTCCATGATGATGACTGCTGAACATAGGCCTCCCCCAATGATTTTCATATTGACCGGTTGGTAGCGGCCTGCAACCAGCGTCTTCCTTTATGAGGTTTTCACTCCCCCTTGTGGGTTCAATTTCTATATTAATCGTAAAAAGACAAATAAAATTATTAGAGAACACATTTAGAATTTAACTTTACAAGTCAAAAGGTTATGAAAATTCATACTTACTGAAAAAAAAACCACGTGGGCGAATCTGACGCAAGAAGCTAGTATTTTAATCATGTAGTTGTCACGATAGAAACACTTAGTTAAATCAATATTTACATGAAATCACACTTTTAAGTGTGACCTGTGGTGTGACGTTTGTTATCAGTGACGTAAAAATTCAATCTCTACATGATGTTACAACTGCAGATTCTAACAACGCAATTTTTTTTTTAAAACTAGATGTCAGGAAAAGGGTCACTCAATCCTACAAAACGGGACTATTCCCAACTCTTGTTCCCACCGCTGCAACTTCTGTGTAGCCAGGATCTACAGCTTGACCGCCAATAAAACCCAACAGTGAATGTCAAGTTTTTCCCAGGGGAATGATAAACTGTCATTCCAGCCGCAAAGAAAGGTGACAAAACAAAGGTTTACCTAAGACGTGACGTACGACCTGACGTTGCCCTCGGTAAGACAAATGAGTCGGGAACGCGGGACATTACTGTCGATATTTGGCCTTTCTTGGACTGACTTATCCTTTCCTGGACTAACTTGTCCTTTTCTGGACTAACTTGTCCTTTCCTGAATTAACTTATCCCTGGATGGGTACCTACTGGCGGTCAAGCTGACCAGACTACATATCAGTTTTGATTCTGATAATGTGACTGGGAAAGTTCGGGACTTCCAGAAATTCCAGAAATGGCACGCGACAAAATAAAAACAAAGAATTTGAAGCTCTTGATACTTTGTATTAATTTATTTGTATGTGTATAAGGCAAAGAATACACGCTGTGTTAATTAAACAGGAAAGTAAATAAATGCACAGACTGTCAACNCACCGCTGAAACTCCTGTGTAGCCAGCATCTTCAGCTTGACCGCCAATAAAAACCCAAGTGAAGGTCACGTTTCGTCCCTCGCATGACTAACTATCCTTTCTCAGTCTTTTGGCGATTTGATAACCTAACTTAACTGAAAACCCGCGGTTTTGAGAAAGTGGCAAAACTGAGATAGGATAGTTAGTCATGCGAGGGAAGGTTTGTCCCAATGTCAAGATGTGGAAAAAATGAAATCTGATTGGTTATTTAAAACACTTCTCCTCTCCGCTTGGTGGAAATCTGGGCTAACGGCTATAAAAACAATGGAATATGCCATACAATACGGTACTGTAGGAAAGACGTCATCGCGGTAAGTAAATACTTACGTAGAGCTTTTTGACATTCCACAATCACAAACACAATGTGTATATGACCTTACTAATACTAAGGGCTGATTTTTCAACCGTCGGATAACTTTTAACTGAAGAATAAGTTTGGCACATTGACAGTTTTAGTACGGGAAATATGTCAAAATGACAAGGTTATTCTTCAGTTAAAAAATATCTGACGATTGAAAAATCAGCCCTAAATCAAATAAGGAAGGTTATTTTTATACTTGGAAACTAACCTGTGAAATGATGTAATATTATTAAAAATACGTAAGTAACACGACCTGTCTGTTTGACTACCATGTCATACATGCATGCATGGACAAACTTGGCCTACACTGGTTGGGTTTTATTGGCGGTCAAGCTGTAGATCCTGGCTACACAGGAGTTGCAGCGATAGGAACGTGAGGTGGGATTAGTCCCATAACATGTCATGAATCTTCCATTTCTTTGAATTGGTTGAGATAGACTCAACTTTAAATTTCTATAATCATGATCATATTTTCAGCCATGGGGACCTCCCATGGATAGGGACCTCCATGATGATGACTGCTGAACATAGGCCTCCCCCAATGATTTTCATATTGACCGGTTGGTAGCGGCCTGCATCCAGCGCCTTCCTTTATGAGGTTTTCACTCATTCTTGTGGGTTCAATTTCTATATTAATCGTAAAAAGACAAATAAAATTATTAGAGAACACATTTAGAATTTAACTTTACAAGTCAAANGTTACTGTCCGGGATAGTGTTAAATGGACAACTTCGTGTACTTAATAAATTGGGACAACAATTCTTCCACAGCCCGATGTCGGCGCCCCAGTGGTAGCAGAAGACGGTCTCTGGGGCATCACGTCAGGGTGGACCTCAAAGCAGTGTTCCATCTACCCCAGCCCCACAATCCTCACCAGAACCGCCATGCCACCGGTGAGGACCTGGCTGGAGTGTGTGTGATTAGGAGACGAGAGAACAAATCATACTTCTGTTGTTAATAATTTCAATTCAAAAATTTCAAAAAACAGAAAATTAACCACATTATGAAGAAAAAATTTACTTTGTATGGATTTTTGACGAATTTCAATATCTAATTACTGCATGTGATATACCATTAAAAAGTAGAGAAGCTAGAGATGTTTTTAAGATCATAGGCAATCCACTATCACCTTTAATTTTTTTTTAAATCGAATTCCTAGTTGAATTTTTTATCGTGGTTCATACTTTTGTTAAACTTTGGCGGCTCGTAACTAGCTATCCAATCATTACCTGGATCTGAATTTTTTATTTTATTTGACTGAAGACATATTAGATATTAATATCAAATAATAAAAGCGGTTTAAAACACACGAGAAAAAAAAATTTAAGCAGTTTTAGGTCAAATTTTGGAAAAAATTAAACAAAAACAAAAAATATCAATTTAAAAAAAATTTGCTCACTTAGGGTCAAATGGGCGAACATGTATTCTTTAAATAAATGTTTTTTTCCTATCTTCTTTTATTTTTTTCTATTTTCATCGAGTTTTTATTTTATATATCCCTCATGCTGAATTTCATAAATCCGAAAGAACTTTATTTGAATAGTTCTAAGATGAATAGTTAATTGACGAAGTATCAGTTTAGTGAATCGTTCGTAGGCGAAATACGATATCTAATGATGACTTGTGCTGTCGACGAATCGTACGCCGGTGAAAGGTTCTGTTGGCGAAGCGGCGATATACGAAATGTTGTGTCGGCGGGCAGTCATGTGAAGAAACGAATGTCGGCGACCAGTTCCAGACTCGGGTGAACCCGTCAGACTTTGACATATTTTGGAGGAGACATTACGACAAATACACAAGATGGGAAGAGACAGAATATATTGTCAACTCGACAGTCGTATCGACCTTTTGTATTGCTGCTAGTTGGCCGTACTTTAGAGAAAATAGGAAATCTATTTGTTTGGGGAACACCACGGCATTCAATCTTAACAAATGCCTAACATTGTGAAATGAAGAGGTTAGAATGTATTAAAATTACTTTGTATTTTTGTAAAAAAAAACTTTAAACAAACATTACAGAGTTTTGCTTTAAACTAACACCATAAAGTACCTAGTTCACTATCACTAATCCTATATTCTACTTCTGACTTACTTTCAGGTAAAACTAACTTACTGTGGATAATGTTTAGTTTTAGAAATGAAGATAAAGAAACAATACCCACATAATTTTATTAAGTACAAAACTTAGTCTTTAAATTGAATTAAATAAATAAAATTAGTTTGTACTAAGATTTCAAACAAAAGCTGTTAAATATCAATCAAACANTTATTTGACTGAAGACATATTAGATATTAATATCAAATAATAAAAGCGGTTTAAAACACACGAGAAAAAAAAATTTAAGCAGTTTTAGGTCAAATTTTGGAAAAAATTAAACAAAAACAAAAAATATCAATTTAAAAAAAATTTGCTCACTTAGGGTCAAATGGGCGAACATGTATTCTTTAAATAAATGTTTTTTTCCTATCTTCTTTTATTTTTTTCTATTTTCATCGAGTTTTTATTTTATATATCCCTCATGCTGAATTTCATAAATCCGAAAGAACTTTATTTGAATAGTTCTAAGATGAATAGTTAATTGACGAAGTATCAGTTTAGTGAATCGTTCGTAGGCGAAATACGATATCTAATGATGACTTGTGCTGTCGACGAATCGTACGCCGGTGAAAGGTTCTGTTGGCGAAGCGGCGATATACGAAATGTTGTGTCGGCGGGCAGTCATGTGAAGAAACGAATGTCGGCGACCAGTTCCAGACTCGGGTGAACCCGTCAGACTTTGACATATTTTGGAGGAGACATTACGACAAATACACAAGATGGGAAGAGACAGAATATATTGTCAACTCGACAGTCGTATCGACCTTTTGTATTGCTGCTAGTTGGCCGTACTTTAGAGAAAATAGGAAATCTATTTGTTTGGGGAACACCACGGCATTCAATCTTAACAAATGCCTAACATTGTGAAATGAAGAGGTTAGAATGTATTAAAATTACTTTGTATTTTTGTAAAAAAAAACTTTAAACAAACATTACAGAGTTTTGCTTTAAACTAACACCATAAAGTACCTAGTTCACTATCACTAATCCTATATTCTACTTCTGACTTACTTTCAGGTAAAACTAACTTACTGTGGATAATGTTTAGTTTTAGAAATGAAGATAAAGAAACAATACCCACATAATTTTATTAAGTACAAAACTTAGTCTTTAAATTGAATTAAATAAATAAAATTAGTTTGTACTAAGATTTCAAACAAAAGCTGTTAAATATCAATCAAACATAAGAAAATTTGGGATAACGCCATTGTTGTACCTATTTACTTATACGTATCCAATGTCAATGACATGGGTAATTAATTATTTACTTAAGATTAGCATTACATATTTAGGTTTACGGCAGCTATGTCAACTTATTTGAACAACCATGATTGTTTAATAAAGGATTTAGATACTGTTGAATGATATAAATGAGCGATAAGGTAGCGATCACACGATCACACATGGAGAAGCTATATGCCCCGTTTCCACGAAGACGGAGCGGAGCGGAGATGAGTGGAGAAGGTGACGGGCGGACGATTTTTTCTGTACAATTTGACAGCAGCAGCGGCGCGGTGCTGAACGTAGCTGTGCGAAGCGGAGAAGAGATGTGAATGTACGGGACTGTTCTTACCTCTCGTTCCCACCGCTGCAACTCCTGTGTAGCCAGGATCTACAGCTTGACCGCCAATAAAAACCCAAGTGAAGGTCACGTTTGTCCCAATGTCAAAAGGTGGAAAAAATTAAATCTGATTGGTTAATCCAAACACTTCTCCTCTCCGCCTTGGTGGAAACCTGGGCTAACGGCTATAAAAACAATGGAATATGCCATACAATACGGTCTTGCAATAAAGACGTCATCGCGGTAAGTAAATATTTCGAAAGTGGCATAAAGCATTGGTCATACTAAGGTATGTAGTAGTATTTTTAATTTAAAATGCTAAATATATCTCGAAAATGACTAGGTACTTGAAAAAATTACTTGCCTTCGAACCCATAGGAGTATCTAGGTTTCTTCATGGGGGGGGACTGGCCCCTGATATGCCATAAATTATCACGGGGATTAGTATCATAGCTCACAAGAGTTAGTACTATTAATTATCATCTTCAAATCAGTTGCCCAACATCCTGGGGTTCGGGCCTACCACCTTTTGCCCTCATTCATTTCAGAACGCCATAATAAATATGAAAAAAATCCGAGGTTGATTTCTAAATTGACTGGATTATTGGATCATCATCATCATCATCAATTCAGCCATAGGAAGTCCACTGCTGAACATAGGCCTCCCCCAATGATTTCCATGATTATCTGCTATACCTATTATTTGATGATAATTAGGTACCTCTAAGCACAGAATAAATCAATTTGATAATCGAAAAGAAAGGTCGTGATTTTGAAGTCCTACTATTTTGAAGAGTTAACTTCAAGATTAATTATGTCTTCTGTCGTTTTGTTTTTTATACTCAACATCAAATAAATCGCACCTTCCGCGACGCGAACTTTAAAGATTTTCTCCTGACACAACCATGGTGCCCCAACAATATTGGTGTTATTTGAAAGCCCAATAAATATCCTTAAAGAAAAACACATTCAATTTCATAATAAATGATTAACATATACCATAAATGTGACTTGAAAAAAGACCTCACTTTGGGCTCACCTCTGGGATCAATTAGACCAGTTTTTTTTGTTATAAAACCAAATAATGATCTCACATGTCCTCTTTAACAGATGGATAGCGATTAATCCCTACTTAACAGTTTTATAGCGATAAAAGTTGTCTCAAGCGTAACTACCTATTTTTTAAAGAAGTGACTCTGGATCCTTCTAAAGACACATTTTTGGGGTAAAAACTTTTCCTATAATGAAATCAAGTTTAGAACTAGGCTTTTAAATAATGCCAATATTGGAGAGAAGTGGGGATGCATACGTTTAATAGTGCTTGTCGCGGGAGGTGCGATTTATTTGACGACGAGTGTATTTCACCTGCATAACGAAACAAAGAACTCTGTTTATTTGCAAACAACGGGGAGAAAGACGAAATGTTTTTTGACATTCCACAATCACAAACACAATGTGTCTATGACCTTACATAAACTAAATCAAATAAGGAAGGTTATTTTTATACATGGAAAGTAACTTGTGAAATGATGTAATACTAATAAAAATACGAAATTATAACGACCTGTCTGTTTGACTACCATGTCATACATGCATGCATGGACAAACTTGGCCTTCACTGGTTGGGTTTTATTGGCGGTCAAGCTGTAGATCCTGGCTACACAGGAGTTGCAGCGGTGGGAACAAGAGGTGGGATTAGTCCCATAACATGTCATGAATCTTCCATTTCTTTGAATTGGTTGAGATAGACTCAACTTTCAATTTCTATAATTATCATCATATTTTCAGCCATGGGGACCTCCCATGGATGGGGACCTCTATGATGATGACTGCTGAACATAGGCCTCCCCCAATGATTTTCATATTGACCGGTTGGTAGCGGCCTGCATCCAGCGCCTTCCTTTATGAGGTTTTCACTCACTCTTGTGGGTTCAATTTCTATATTAATCGTAAAAAGACAAATAAAATTAGGTATTAGAGAACACATTTACAATAAATTTAACTTTAAAAGTCACTTTGTTTTTGTTTGATTGTTTTTTGATAATTTGGTACTAAATTAGAAATTGCGAATGAAAGATGTTAAAAATAAAACAGAGCATAGTAATTATGTTTCAGTATGTTTGTGTATTGATTTTTTTTCTGGGTTTTGTTCATTTCATTTCAGCCACAGGACGTCCTCTGCTGAACATCGTTCGTTTCAGCCAAATGACGTCCACTGCTGGACAAAGGCCTCCACCAAGGATTATCTTAATGAACGTTCCTGCGCTGCCCNACGATTTATTCGAATGATTATGAGTTTCGATCATTAGTATAGAAAAATATATGAAAACAAATATTAGTAAAAACTAAGTGTAGGTATGATTAGTGATATTATGAATATCAATGATTATGTTTTTAAATATGTAGGTTTTAAATTTTTTATGAAGAATGATCATTATGGTATGAAATTGTATGAGAAATATTTTCGGACCTCCAATGATAGGAATTGAAAAGTTATGTAAGAAAATGCGCTACCGTTTACGTTAGGTGTGCTCGCTAGCGACTGCGTAAAAAAATGACATTAAAATGTATGACATATTGTGCAGCGCCCCTAGTGGCTACTTTCAAGAAATAAAATCTTCATAGATTTTTTTGACGTACTCGCTAGCGAGCGCACCTAACGTAAACTCATGGTAAGCACACTGAAGAACGTAATACCTAGGTACCTATAGATTTTTTCAGGCATCATAGTGAAGAAGCCCAAATCTTCTTAAAACCACAATTTAACTGTTCTCTGTCACAAAGTTACATACTTAATACATATTATTATATCGTTATCAAACAGCTTTTGTTTATTCTGCACTCGATTAGGTTATTTATTATGTCTTCGTGAGAACTTATACCAAAGTATAAACGATAAGTACCTATTTATTTTTAGATAAAAACTGATATCACGGAAACGACCGCGCCTTAATGTGCATTAACTCTGGACTAAATAGTCTAGACCTAAAAAACTGATACAGACAAAGTAGGTATAAGTACTTAAACTTGCTCTTAAAAAAAACAACAGCTACTTACTATCCTCCAATCTGGTCGAGATAGCTGTACACCAGGCAGCCGTGACGTCACATCGACGCTCTGGTACGGACGGGGCGATCGCGGGAAGGTGTGCGGGAAAGTGGGAGGGAGAGTCGTAGTTAAAAACTGAACCATACTCACATGATAAACCTATCAGAATGAGGGCAAGCCACCACGAGGTTTTCAGCAGCAGAAGCAACGAGCCCAAGATGGTGAAGAATGTCACAAAGATGCCATATGCGAAGTACGACAGCACCAGACCAGATAAACGCTGGAAAACAAAACATGCAATATTAGGTAGGTTCTGCCGAAGGTCCAGCAGTACGTAAATTAGAGATAACCTCAGGGACAGTCTGTTTCAAGAGGGAATTCTGGAGGCCAGAGCGTTGTTATTGTGGATAACCAATAATAAGTAAGCCTTTTACAACTCTAGGTGTATACCTTTCTACTCTTAATTTTATGTTGGATTCAAAAAAAGGATAGTGACTCAAAATAATGCTTTACATTTGAAAGATTAAGTAGGTTTAATATTATTTTCAAGACAACACTAACCAAATACATCTATGAATCAGTGATACTCGTAAGTCATAATACTTAAGTACTAATCAAAGGTTCTTTATACGTGAAAACAATAAAAAGTCCTGACTGTGAAATTTTCACCAATTGTAGAGACCTTACCTTTCATAAAAACTTAGGTAGGACAAATTCAGAATTTTTCCTTTCAATCTTTAGGCAATTACAGACGTATTACCTAAATGAATAAATGTAAAGAAAAATAAGGTCCTGAAAGACATTTCCTCATACTGCCTGAAGTAGGTATGCAGCAGAAGGCTTTATAAAATGGATTAATACGTTTGCTATCAATTGTTTTGTGGTAATGAGCAGCAGACAATTAATACAGCGGGTCGCAAAGCCACGATTTTTAAGTTTTTAAAGTGTTGTGATTTATAAAACAGCAGTAAGTTTATTTGTCTCATTTATAAGCAGCAAAGATACTTTTGCGGGAGGTGCCTGGATGCGGGCGGCGCAGAACCTTGGGGGAGGCCTTAGTCCAGCAGTGGATATCTTTCGGCTGAAACGAACGAAAGATACATTTGACCCAGGAAAGGTCGTTGTGAAAATCGTTGGAGATCTTCGTCAAGCAGTGGACGGTACATGACGGTACTATGTTGAAACGAAGGCCACCACTGTATCTAATGCTGATGACTTCGGACCGACCATTCTCGTAACTCTCGGTTTGCGTCCTCCCTCGTATAGAAATCGACAAAATGATGCGGGTTGCGTTCACAATTGACCTGACCGTTGACCGCAGAACGCATAGAGTGTGGAAAATCCTCAAGAGTTTCTTTGTAGGATAACGCGTTGATTAAACTAGACTAGCGCCCGTATTCACAAACGATGCTTGTCTAAGTGAAGCAGCAAATCGAACGCACAGTGTTGAATAGAGCTCTGTGATTGGTTTGTGTGTCACCCTGTGCGTCCACGCGCACTGTGAGACCTCACAGTAAGTAAATATGTTGAGTACGGGCGTTAGAGGAAGTATTAATCGAACCTTCTGAACTCCAACAATCAGGAATGTGGAAGTCATGGCCAAAATCAACGCGACGAGCAGGATTATTCCCAGGACCACCTGCTTGGAGCCCGGGTTGACGTCCAGGTGAACCAGGCCTAGGAGGTGCTCGGTACGGTTGTGCAAGTACGAGTAATCCTTATTGTTCGGACCTATTGAGGTTTCGCATATGAAAGTGAGCGACGTGGCCGATATTCCGAGTGAGAGCACCTGAAAAGAGATGTAAGATAATTTAGTCTGTATCCGACGCCTAGCTTAAGCCTAGGCACAGACCACCGACTTTTAGTCGGCCGATAGTTGGGCCCGATTCATTTGTATGAAGAATCTGCCGATACTTAGATATCGGTGTAAAGTGCGCACTATTATACGTACATTTCCATGCTGATTAACAGCCCGACACAACTATCGGCCGACAAAATGTTTGCAGTCTGCGGCTAGGCTAATGGTGATAGGCTGTCAAACGTCGTCATGGGTTCGATTCCCGCACTATTGCGATGAAAATTTACTTTTATTGGTATATGAGTGTTATCAACTGATTTGTATTGTATAAGCCGTATTCGACGCCTAGGCTTAGCCTAATGGTGTATGTGTACCAGGCTGCCAAACGTCGCGGGTTTGAACCCCGCACAACAATGATGAAAAGTGTTGCTGAGTGTTTTCTGTTGGTTTGTTGTATTCATTAATATCAGCCTCTGTTTTCTATTTATTATGATTATCATATTCTGTTATTAGGAGGATATTTTAATAGTTGCAATCCTTACATTTAAGCAGTGTGCTGTGTGTGGTTATGATGACTTAAACAAATAAGCTTCGTAATCTTTAGGTATAGATACTTAGGTGTATTTACCTAAGACTAAGGAGACGCTGACGTCATGGTTATGGAAGGATTTACAGACTACAGCTGCATTGCACAGGCATGTTTACATTTATAACAAAGTATAAAGTTACTCGTAAATACAAGCTCGTTAGATTCAAGATTGTATGTTACAATACAAACAGTTTTATCGTGTGTTATTTTGCGATACTCATGCTGAAACGTGATGGCAAAGAAATATTAAGTATTTTGAGATGGACCTCCCAGGGCCAACTGCAGACCACCCAACTCCTTAAAAAAACTTAAGCAACCCTATTGTGTCTTGTCATGATACTGGCTTCTAGATTATGGTAAAAGCTTGTTTTCAATGGTTGTAATTAAGTTTTTGTAACAAGTTAAGTTTCATAATTAGTTAACTGTAAAATCTAATGCGCGTAGATAGATACGTCTATGTGGCAGAGAAAAGCTCAAACACTACGCGAAAACTCCACTGAATGAAACGCTCTACTTACGGTTAATTGTCACTTACATATTCAAAAACTATATTTAAAGTACTCCACGCAATTAAATATGTGAATAAAACAATGATAGGTATTTTAATAGGTACTAGGTATAAACAAATGTTAAAACAACCATTAAATTAAACAAAAAAGAACTATGAAATTGCAAGTTAACATGCAGATTTAACTTACCAAGGTGAAAATACCTATTAAAAGGCACCCCACGTCTAATTTCACAAAAAAACAACACTTTCCAGACCAGCACATGTTTGTTAATTGCTAACAATAACCACTGTGATACAATACCCAGTGAACTCGCCAGTTTAGTTTATAACTCAGTTTTCCGTAATGACTCAAATGTGGTGAGAATTTAATTATTCCCTACAAGTTCATTTGTTAATAGTGAAATAAGATAGCGTTAAAACAAATATATTGGGAAACATAACATCCGAAATTTGGAATATCTGTTTAAATTAACTGTTGGATAATGATAAGAAAATTTGCAGACTAACGTGGTGAGGAGCGCAAAAGAACTCCTCGAATGTCCTCAACAACAACTCAACATTCGTGGCACTTCATGGGTACTTCCCCTCCTTTTCTTAGTAGCCTACTTGCATAAGGCATGCCGCTGAAATTTGATAAACAGAGACCTTATTGACGCCTGTCAGCGATTCATCCAGGGCTGGATTTAAAAATACGGATTAATTTATTAACCAATTAACTAGGTATAACAAAGGTTTTTTAAAACTTTACAATATTTCTAGAATACTAGAGATGTAGATAAATATTGTTTTAATTGTTATATATTATCGTTTAACTTTTCAAGCGCAGGTTGATTCATACGAGTACTATCAAGACTGGGAAGTTCCCAGATAATAAGTATTCCCAATATAATTTTTATTATCACTCCACAGCATTTTACAACAAAACTTTTATAACGATAAAAATAAGATATTTACCCTCCCGACGTTATTGTAAAATCCCAATATACAGGGTGGCCAAAACAGTGAGGTCTAAAAGAAAAATTTATCAATCAAGTACATCAAGGTGTACCTAAATCCCCCCCATGTATGTCATACGATTGTGCTTAGTTTAGGAGATAGAGTTAATTTTGTGATAATTATTTTAAAATTTTATGACCTAGTTGGCTTTAAACATTTTTATCTTTTATTTGGGTTGACTTTTTTCAGATTTCTTTTTTTCGACAGATTTGTTATTAATTGCAGGTGTTTGAAAAAAATAATCACCTTCCTATCTTTGATTCAACGTACAAAAGTTTTGCTAGAAACATTAAAATTATGCTTTTATCAGAACACTATCAAATTTTCAACTTAAAAGTTTAGGTAAAAAAAAAGAACTTCCATAGGTCCAAAACCGTTTTAAAAACTGCGCCGTTTTCTAAACATTCATAATAATACAAAAAACATGTACTTAATGGGCCACTATTTCCTGTAATCGGTCCACTAAAGTGGTAAGTCGGAGATTCCGTTACATGTTTTTGACTTTCTTAGAGTGAATTAATATTGGGAATCCTCTAAGTTTACATTACGTAGAACAGATTTAGAGCAGTAACTGGACAGAACATGTTTTTATTCCCAACGAGGAAGCTCTTGCCCTTCATCACACCTGGTGGAAACTAATGATTAGGCTGAAGGTGGAAGGGAACTTCAACTACAAAGGAACTATGGCTTCCTACCTCCAAATTCCAGAACACATTGTTATTTTAAGTAAGTTTTAATGAACATAAACCAAATATCCCTCCTTCTTCTTCTCACTGTAGTAGGTACCTATTTCAAGACTAATAGTAAAATGTAACAACTTCGTCTGTCTTCAAGTGGTAAGAGGTAAGCTTCAGAGGTCCCGGGTTTGATTCCCAGTGCAAGTAAAATTTTCTGCTCGGTTTGGTTGGTAATAGGGTTTGATCTAAGTCTGCCTGGCTAGCAACTCTATTTTCCTAAGTCTGTCACTATAACAAAAATGTTAATAGCATTACTGTATTCCGGCATTTGGAGGTAGGAAGCCATAGTTCCTCTGTAGTTGAAGTTCCCTTCCACCTTCAGCCTAATCATCAGTTTCCACCAGGTGTGACGAAGGGCAAGAGCTTCCTCGTTGAGAATAAAAACATGTTCTGTCCAGTTACTGCTCTAAATCTGTTCTACGTAATGTAAACTTAGAGGATTCCCAATATTAATTCACTCTAAGAAAGTCAAAAACATGTAACGGAATCTCCGACTTACCACTTTAGTGGACCGATTACAGGAAATAGTGGCCAATTAAGTACATGTTTTTTTGTATTATTATGAATGTTTAGAAAACGGCGCAGTTTTTAAAATGATTTTGGATCTATGGAAGTTCTTTTTTTTACCTAAAATTTTAAGTTGAAAAGATAGTGTTCTGATAAAAGCATAATTTTAATGTTTCTAGCAAAACTTTTGTACGTTGAATCAAAGATAGGAAGGTGATTATTTTTTTCAAACACCTGCAATTAATAACAAATCTGTAGAAAAAAAGAAATCTGAAATAAGTCAACCCAAAAAAAAGATAAAAATGTTTAAAGCCTACTAGGTCATAAAATTTTAAAATATCACAAAATTAACTCTATCTCCTAAACTAAGCACAATCGTATTACATACATGGGGGTGATTTAGGTACACCTTGATGCAAGGAATCAAAATTTTTCTTTTAGACCTCACTGTTTTGGCCACCCTGTATATTCCCAATTTCCCAGCAAATACAAATTAACTTATTTAATCTTACTTTTATATTATGTATAAGTTTTCATTTAAATAAGTAATTAGGTAATGTGTTTTCGAAATAGGGCCCTGTAGAACTATAATAAACAAGTCGTCAGCTATTGGTGCTTATCGCGGTCACAACGTGCTAAACATTCAAATCTTTGAGTCCCTTGTATTTGACAAAAACTATAAATAATCATAAATTAGTTACTTTAGTACAACAACCATCAAATTGTTTTGAACCGTATCTCGAACAGTTAACGATAATTTTACAAAATAGAGAGTTCCGTTGAACTTGTAGACCCGTATTACGAAACGATTCTCGATTCAAACTCCAAAATTATTTTTTGCGATTGGTTTAAGTATGTAAATGAATTTAACGATTAAAGGGCTTGAATTTATGGCGGAAACTGTCGAGTTTTGAGTATGGTTTGATAATGCGGGATGAAATTTATGGCCTTGTTTTTGTTTAGTCACAAAAAATTTACCCGAGTCGCCGCGCGGCGGGGACAGCGCCATAAAAAAATGGAGACCAAATTGTTCCGATATTTGAACATGAAAATAAACATACTTATCTCAAAATAGCCAAATAGATTATCCAAACAAAGAGCCAGCTATGAACGGCAATTAGTTATTTAAATAAAAATGACCACTATTTTTGTCCAGATTTTGTTTCTCACTCATTTCTACTATTACTGATAAGTATAATGAATAATACAAAATATGATTTATTTGCTTAATTAGCTCACATATTACATTTCACATCATAATGTATTTGAAAAGCTAATGACTGATTGACATAGGTTTTATGTAATTGCAGTCAGTAGCAGAACGTCTGATTTGTGAAATCTAACAACCACCTTTTTATTGTTTACAAATTATTACAATAAACAGATTTTAAATTATTGTAATCGGAACCTATCAAAATTTCAAAATTCCTGTGAGGAAAAAACATTGAAGGAGGCTGAGTTGATAGTTGCTAGTTTCCCGTTAAACTTACTTATCTATCAGGTAAAACCTAAATAACTAAATGCACGTACACATACACACAGATTTGTTCTAATTATTATTATTTTAATACGAGCATCATTTTATTATGTAGCATTATTAATTTACTATGTATAATTATGTAGGTATTCATTATTCAACAACTATTCGTACATTATTGTTCATAATTATATTTAAACGGTCTTGTTGACATGCGGTTTAGGTTAGTGTCCGTGACTTCCATTGGGCGTGGGACACACTGAAAAACAACGGTCGTGGCCTTCCCCACCGTGGGCCACGGCATTTATGCTGAGCACAGTCCCATTGCGATGGGCATCGCTGTTGCGACAGGGTAGCATTGCTCAGTTCACTTTTTATTTCCTTGTAATATTTATGTGCTATTTCTGTCTTTTTTCCAGATCATCGTAATAAATGTTTCTTTCTTTCTTTATGAATGCCATTATTTGACTCCTAAATACTCGTAACATAATAATAAACGCTGTCACTTTTTATCAGTGAAGAATTTATTTATTTTGCATTAACAATCATACATAAATCTAATTTTACAAGTTACCTCGTTGTGAGTAAATACAACATAACGCATCACATTAAAAAAGTTAAATAAAATAGATCAGTATTTTAAATGAAATATTTACTTGTAAAAACTACTGGAAAACTTGTTAAATTTTACCGCCACTGCCAGAGAGGTTGTTTACTTAGTTTAAATTCCAAGCCAACCAATAGAGGGCACTACACAGATATATCTGTGGGGCACTTGCACAGATTACTTATTTGGGCACTTGATCCGATACATAATTCCACCCACAGAGATCATAATGCTCAACGTGTTTTTTCACTAACCTATAATAAAAATACGTGTGAGCTTGTTAAAATAACTATACTGACAAAATATTATGTTGTTTTAAGTGTTACATAAATTTTATCAGTTCGAATGGTAAAGTGAAATTTTAGAACGTAAGTAGTTCTGTCAATAGTTAATACATAGAGAAAAGTAATACATAGGAAATAGAGAACCCTCTCTGTCAAAGGATGATGGGCAGGGCCGCGCCGCCTCTGTGTGCGATGTGTGCGGCGCACACAGGCGCCAAGACAATAGGGGCGCCGCGCCGCTACTGCCACCTATTTTTTTTTAAATGGAGTACATATTGATAAGTAAGTAGGTAAAGTATGCGCAAGCGCAACAAAACAAATATTACGCTTACTAAACAAGTCTCTCAATATTTATATGTTTATTATGATTCACGTTTATGGTTTCATTTTACGCTTAGGGTTTTAGTTTAGTTTACACTAGCGGCCGCCCGCGACTTCGTACGCGTGGATCCCGTTTTACCCCCTTCATCTATCTTACGCGGTTTAGATTTTTTCATACATGTGTTTTTTCCCGCAAACTCCCGTTCCCGTGGGAATTTTGCAATATCCTGTTGTAACTAAACTTTAAGTTTACTAAGGTACCTGCTTGCCAAAAAGCGTCTAACTTAAGCGGTTTTGATTTTTTATACAAAAGGATTTTCCCGCTAATTCCCGTTTCCGTGGGAATTCCTAAGTATACTATAACCTGCCCAGGAGTATGAAGAATAATTGTACTAAAGTTCGTTAAAATCCGTCGAATAGTTTTTGTTTCTATAAGGAACATACAGACAAAAATTTTACTGATTGCATTTTTGGCATCAGTATCGATCACTAATCACCCCCTGGTAGTTATTTTGAAAATATATTTCATGTACAGAATTGACCTCTCTACAGATTTATTATAAGTATAGATTACTTACGAGCTCAACGTTAAAACGGCGGCAGTTCTTTTGAACCATAAAGTACTAGTTACATATTTTGATTTTGAACCGAGG